TACCTCAAGCCTTTAATTTTTATTCATCGTGTTGAGTAATATGGGATGGAAAGTGTGGAGCACTATTGTGAAAAATATAAACAAACAAATTTTAGTTTAATATTAATATAAGGGCTTTGTATATTGAACTTACACAAATTTTTGTATGGCTTTGGTTACTCGTCTTATATTACTCGAGACTGCATCATTATCAAATGAAGTTCTGACTACAGTAAATTCAGTCTTGGCAAACACTCTGGGTTAATCCTGAATAATGCATGCACTTCCATTTTCATAACAGTGATTTTTTTAAAGAAATGTGTGTTGTAGTAAAGTCAGTATGTTAGTTGTTTTTTGTGGCCTGACTTAACTTGGCTTTTCTCTCTGTGCATTTCGAGCATTTTCCGTTTGTTCATTTTTTTACCAAGAAATGTGGCAATTTCAGGTCAACACAATTGTTTTGGATGCTATCAAGAAAGGAGCAAAAGTTCATTGCGGGGGGAGACCAGCCTCCTCTTTGGGTGAGAGATTTTATGAACCAACTTTACTTACAAATATAAATGAATCAATGATGTGCTACAATGAAGAGATCTTTGGACCAGTTGCAGTATGTATAAGGCAAGTTTCCGTTCTAACTTAATTTTTGTAGTTTGCTTTTTTTCATTACAAATCTTTAATCATTTTAGGAAGGACTGTTCTTTTATCAAGTGATTTAAGTATAACTCAATCTGAAGATGTTCTCAAAGTTTGAATTTTGACCATATGGTTAAGTTTCCCCTGTTTTTGATAATGTATGGGAAATTTTCCAGTTCACACTGTAATATAAATTCCTGTCCTGGTCACTTCATTGATTACCATGATTGGTGCCACTGCTTCAGAAGTCAAGGATCAGTTCAGAAGTGGGTTAGAAGTGTAAAGTGACAGATGAGGTTGTTTAACCCCTCAACGACGGAGGACGTTTAATTCTTATCCACTCCCAGAGCCGGAGGATATTCAAATACTAAAGCCAAAAAATGCAACACTTCATTTGAATAGCAATAAATTTGGAAAAAAATAATTTTTTCCCCCTTGTAATTTTGACATTATGTTCTGAAAAGTACACGGAATCAGAATATCGACAACAGTATATTTTAAAATTAATTTTGGCGCAGTAAAATTTTAGACCTAAGGAAAGTATTTTAAAATTCCACAACCATCCAGTTTATTCTCACTATCAAACTTTCTTCAGATTCGCTTCCAAGTAAACAGCCTTTCACATGATCATCATATAGAACAGCCAATTGCTTCCTGCTAGTAGCTGCCATGGCTTCCATGTGCTCACTGTGTGATGCATATTTATAGAGCATAGCAAAGCATTCATATACAGAATTATTATTGTTTCATATGTGACTGGAAGTCTTTCGTCATACCCTTATGAATCAACATCATGGGTCAAGATAATGCTATAAATTCTGCCAGCTCCTGTGGTTACAAATGACTAAGTGAAGGCAGCACTGTCTGGACAATGTAACAGTGTAAGTGCTGCTGGAAAATGAAAGTGTAACAACACACAAGATAAAAGCCCACAATTTCCTCTTTAATTTTATACCAAAAGAATTACTTTACATAAAAAACAACTATTCAAAATGTGAGCTGGAGCTTGCCCCTGCACTAGGCATGCCATGTACGTTGGTCAACGACATGATTTAAATCACCTTGTGCTATGTTAATATGAAAATTTTGAAGAAGATCGGGTTAATAAATGGCAGAGAAAGTATGACTGTAAGAGGATTGGTACAGGGTCTTCTTTTATAATTCTAAGGAGCAGAGTCCTTCTTGAGAAGCTTAGTACACTCGTCTAGTCATGAAATACCCCTTCTTCTGTGGAATTTGAAGGTTCATAATTGTGTTCACAAGAACCTTCCAGTGGTCCCCGTCTTGAGCCATATGATGCTGTTTTTGTTCCTGACGTGTTGTAATATTCTTCTTCTTCCTTGGCTCTACAACCCTGTGTGGGTCTTTGCCACCTCCTTTCAGAGGTTTCTTAGTATTTGAAGTTTGCGTTTGTGAGTAGTGAGTGAACGGCCCACTGCCTCTGCCCAATTTCTGCTCAATCCTGATTTTGTCTACTAGAGCCATCTAGCAGAGAATCAGGAGAGACATGGGTGAGAAATGGCCACTGAATTTTGCTTGCAAAACATCTCGTTCATGCTCGTAGGGTTCTTTTGCATGCCATAATCTACGACATGGGACCACCGGCTTTACTTCACCTCGAAAGGAAGTTTTGCTATGGATTCCTATCACCCTTAAAAATCCATTGACCTTGGTCAGGTTTGAACCCGCAAACCTTGGGTCCAGTCGTGAGCACACTAACCACTAGTCCGTTGAGGGCGACATGTTGTGATATTGGCCCATCCTATTCCAATTGATTCAGTTTTCGTAACAGCGTCAGGCCCAGCTGTTCCACTCTAGACTGCACATGTTCACTATTCCTATGCCTTTTTTTTTGGCAAATTATTTTAATATCTGTATTCATAGTAAATACCTGTCTCCATTCAAAAATTTTTGTTTAGTTTAATAACAACATTCTTTAGTGTGTGATTTGAAAAGTATTTTGTTATACTGGCATTAGTTATACTAACATTTTCCTGTACTGTGTGAGAACTCATCCCAGTAAGTAGTATCTCTCATTTTCTGCTAGTCCAGTAGTAAATTATCAACAACAAACTGAATTTCATTAGAATGCCTTACACCATTTTCTCCGTGTGTATACACACACACACACACACACACATATATATATATATATATATACAGAGTGAGTCAGAAGTATGTTTACAGACTTCATGTGCGTTTTCCAGGACCAAAAATAAGAAAAAAATGTTCCTATGAACATGGGGTCGCAAATGTTTCATTTTCGAAATAATAGCCAAAAATAAGTTTCAATGATTTGACTTTATATCAAAGTGAATCTAGCTTCCAGCAAAGATTTTCAATTAACGCTGGTCAGGAATCGTTGGCGACGTGCTTTTTGGTCCACACATGCTTCCATCGTGTCTAAGAGGACCTTCCTATCGGTGATTCTTAAGAAGACACTTGCCACGTCTCCTTGAAGATGTACCACTGAATACAAGAAGACAAATGTGGTTTATGCGCGACGGAGCCCCAGCACACTTCTCCCATTGCGTCAGATACCATCTCAATGAACAGTACCCTCAGCGATGGATTGGGCGTGGTGGCCCAGTAGCATGGCCACCGAGGTCACCGGACCTGACTCCATTGGACTTTTATCTGTGGGGTCACTTGAAGTCCGTCGTTTATGCAACACCCATAAACAATGACGACGGCCTATGGGAACTTGTGCAGAATGCATGCCAGATGATTCGAGGAAACTCTGGTGTGTACGAACGAATTTGTCAGTCTTGTGTACGTCGTGCTCGTGCATGTAGGGAGAATGGAGGAGTAACCTTTGAGCATCTGTTATAAAGAAATATCCTTGTCCTTATACTTGGCAATAAAGGCATACATTGAAAATTATTTTTTGCTATTATTTCGAAAATGAAACATTTGTGACCCCATGTTCATAGGAACATTTTTTCTTATTTTTGATCCAGGAACACGCACACGAAGTTTGTAAACATACTTCTGACTCACCCTGTATATATGTATTTTACCCATCTGTCAATGGAAAATAAATGTCTGAATATATATCATCATGGAACTTAATTTGCTATGTTTTGATGAGCATAAATTTGTTTTGAGAAATATATAAAATGTAAATAGTTTCAGAATGTAATTTTAAATTTAAAACTTCTTTGAGAATTCTTGTCATTGCAACCAGTAAGCTGCTTATACAGACTACTACTTTTTTCATGAGATATCCTTCTTGTTTGTGTGAGACAAATATATTTTTTTAAAATTAAATAGTTTCTTATACATACAATAATGTCTTAAAAGTGGTTTGAATATTTACTGAGATATAAACTGTTTTCCTGTTTACTTTGTATTGTAAGAAGTTGGGAATGATGAAATACATGTAGACGGCTGTCTTCTGGGTTGTTGCATCATGTAGTCTGGTAGAAGTTTACAGACGTTTCAGAGGTCCTTGCTGCCTCCATCATCAGGGAAAAGAGTGAAAGGACCTCTGAAATGTCAGTAAACATCTACCAGACTACATGGCACAACAACCGAGAAGACAGCCATCTTCAGACTCACCACCGTGAAAACCTCAAATCTTACGTGAAATACGTGTACTCACAGGTTCAAGACGGAAGAAGGTGGTGTGACCATTGCCAATAGCACAAGACAAGGTTTAGCAGGCTATTTTTTCAGTAATGATGTCCCACAGCTTTGGAGAGTGGCCAAGGAATTGGCTGTTGGGATGGTTGGCATTAATGAAGGCATTATCTCCACCGCAGAAGCTGCATTCGGTGGCATTAAAGAGTCCGGTATTGGACGCGAAGGATCTCATCATGGCATTGATGAGTTCACATATACAAAATATATGTGTTTTGGAAATCTGTAAATATGTTTGTCACTTCAAGAATACCTGCTAACCAGGTAAGTGATAAGGAAGGTACAGAATGTTATGACACTAGTTCAGTTGTGCACATCTTTAAAACTATTGACATTTAATGTGTATTCAGCCGAAAGCTCTGAATATTCAGAGGTGCATAATTCTGGCTATGTATTCATTGTTGCTTAGTGCATATTTCAGTGCTAATAGTGTTACTGCATTATAGCTGTATATTAATATGAAATGTGTATAAAATTATAAATTAATATTTCTTGGCCATAAGAAACAGAATGCCCAGTGTTATGAAAATTGACATGACCTGCTTTCAAGATTTCCACTTGTTTGGGTTTTCATTTCTGTATGCCACTAAACTTTGATAATACTGCAAGAGGGTTAAAAACAGCACTATCCTTGGTGTAGGCCAGCAGTAGCATGCCAAAAGAATTGCTGGGCATTCAAAATTTTGTTTCAGAGAAATTAAATATATATGTGGGACATTTTTTATAGTTTAACGACACTTTTTGAGTGGCTCGGACTATATAGTGTCGAATGAGAGGACGATAAAGAATGGAAAAGATGCGGAAGGAAGCAGCCATGGCCTAATTTAAGGTATTATCATGGAATTTGCCTGAAGGGACTGAGGAAAACCACAGAAAACCCCAGTCAGGGTAGCTGGTCTGTGGGCCAAGATATATATATGTTGTGTATGTGGCAGTACACAAATATATAAGAGCTTTGGTTGGCAACACTCACAAAATTGGATCACAAATTGAAAGGGAAGGTATTATGCGACTTATAATTTTGATTTTTATAGTTACAGTGTTCTTGAATGTTACTTCCATCATTCCAAGTCAGACAAGTTGTGGTTAGGGAAGAAAATAAAAGCTGTCCCACTATACGCCATATAGGCACAGAGGTTCTTGTCCATGGTTAGGATGGGTTGAAAAAATTACATCTGTGATTGTGAGCCCATACTCTATCACGTAATATTTAACCCACTTTAGGTATCTTCACAGAAGCTAATCTGTAGAGAAAATACAAAATGGTAATTTAAATAATTTGATGGAAAACATTCTGATCAGTATTCCTATTAAAATGAAACTGTTGTAAATATATGTGTAATCAAAACACTACTACGCGGTAGGGTTATATACAATATTATATTATTTTGCCTGGACATTTCCCTAGTCTGTTTAAAAATTACACCAATATAAACTTAAAAGTTCTAAAATCCCAACTTTTCAGAGACCGGTGCTGTCTCTTTGTTCAGTTAACTCTGTACGGTCTGTCTGATGAAGCTAGTCTTGTGGTGTAGTTTTTAAATATTTAAACAGACAGTTGATAGATAATATGTAAGCAAAATAACCTAATACAGCCAGATGATACCATTATATTGTTGTAGGTAGTTATTAATGTTTCAGAGGAATTTATTGCGTTTATCTTCAAGAAGATGGAGGTGATATATTTCTCCCAACTGTAACTGCCTATGAAATATAGTCATAACACAAACGCCCTCAATTCATATTTTTACTGGCAATAAATCTCGTATCAGTAATCACTTGTCTTCCAATCTCATGTTCTTCCATGATTATGTCCACACATTTTGTTAACTTAGGAGGAATCTTGTGTATTTGGGCTTCCAGATATGTATTTAGACACATAATAAATAAAGTATATAATAATTTTCTAAATTTTTGTCATTCATTATGGCATGTTTAGTTTATTGTGATCATCCCAGTCTTACAGGTGCAGATAATGTTAATCACTTTTTAAATTTTATATTGAAGCCATTTGGAATACTTCCTTTGCAGTTAGTTCCTAAAGATGACCAGTATAACCATCTTGCTTATATGCCAGCAAGGTTGGTAGGCCTCTGAAATTTTACATGTTGGTGGGAACCATTCCACAGAATAGTTTGTAATTTTAAGATGTGTTAATTATTTTTGTGGGGGAGGGGGAAACGCTTTCGAATAAATTAAAATTCAGTCTTATGCACCACTATAAAGCGCTTAGTGTTGTTAAGGGTTTCATATGATCGGAATAAATAGTGATTACTTCCCCGAACATTAGCCAACTGATTTTTGCAGTGGAAACATTTTCTTTTGAAGAATATTTATACACGCTTCTCATGCTTCAAAGGATTAATGACATCTTGTTCAGTCATAATAATGGAATATGAATGCACCAGATAGTGAATGTGAAAAACTCGAACAGGACATTTCCAAAGAAATCTCTAAAAGAGAAAAAACCCTACATAATAAATAGGACAGATTCCTTTTATGATCATATACGAGGCGCGTCCCAAAAGTAAGTTTCCCTGGGGCCGTTTACAGAAACAAAACACAATTTCATGGAAATATTTATTGCAACAGATACAGCAAGTGTCCAGCTATTTTTCAACATATTCGCCACCGGAATTGAGACATTGGTCATACCGTGGGACCAACTTTTGAATACCTGTGTCGTAGAAGTCGCCCGCCTGGGATTGGAACCACTGTGTGACAACCATCTCCGCCTCTCTGTCATTCTCAAAACGCTGACGCTGACCGGACAGGAATTTCTTGAGGTGTAGGAAAAGATGGAAATCACTGGGAGCGAGATCCGGGCTGTAGGGTGAATGATTAAACACCTCCCAGCTAAACTCCTGCAGGAGACTTGCTGTCCGTCGAACCGTGTGCGGCCTAGCGTTATCACTGACCGCACTTCACAGGCGGCGGGAGCTGGAATAAGAACCTCCATCTTCAACAGCCGCAACGATGCTACTGTGAGAACGC